TTTATATTTTTTTTTATTTCTACTGTTTTTTATTAGGTTTAAGTTTTTAGTTTTAGTTATTTTAGTGCTTCAAGTAGTGCTTTTTATATATCATTTTTAGATTGTATTTTATTTCAGTTAATGTTGATTTAACGTTTTGGTTTCATTCCAGATAATGTAGATTTTTATTTTAATTAATGATTTTTTCATGGTTTTGGTTTTAGTTTTAGTTAACAATAATAACCCTGGTTATAAACAACTTTTTTTACCAGCTGTAATAAATTCATTTATTATAATCATTGAGAAGTGCCAAAGATCCAGTGTTTATTTTAGTATTATTTATTCATATTTTAAACTTTGCTTTTGTTCTGATATTCAAAGTTTAATTTTAGGTAATGTTTTAGTAATTTTTTATGTGTTGTATATTTAAAACCAAAAAATTCTGTATAGCTTTAATTTTTTAATTCAGTTTTAGCTTTAGTCATTTTAGTATTTCAACTTCAGCTCATTTTATTTCAGTTAGTTGCCAAGGCAGCATTTCTAATTTTTAAGTTTAATATTTGTATCTAATATTTGTATTTTATTTCAGCTTTATGTCAATTACTGAAAATGATTATTAATAGTTTTAGTTTACGAAAATGTTATAGTACTATAATTGAGAAAATATTTTTAAATATTTCTATTAGGGTTGCAAAAATCCTTGGAATATTCAAAAAAAAATCCTGGAAAGTTTCCCAAATTTACTGAAAAATTTCCACCTTTTTGCAACCCTAATTTCTATATAGTTTTTATTAATTTTTATTTGAGGTTTAGTTGTAGTTATTTCAGTACATCAGGTTAAACTAAATGAAAATTAGAACTGTTGCCTTGAAAACTTGCTGAGATAAAATAAGTTATTTTATTTTATTTCGGTTAACATTTTATTTCAAGTAACAGTTTTTTTTATGGTTTTAGTTATATTTAACTATGATAACCCTGGTGTTCAATAATAACACATTTCTAGTCATGTTTTGCAGTGGCTGATTATAAATAAATTTTTTTCAAACAGGCAAAATGGTGAATTGAGTGACGATCAGGGATCAGGCAGCTCTCAGAGTCAACCTCGAACACGAGAGAAGCTGTTAGAGGAGAAACAGAGGATTCAGGTGAACAGAAATATATGATCATCACTGAAATATGAATAATGACAGCTTGTCACTTGATGTTTAACCTGTAGAATATTTGACTACAGTACATAAGCATCAGTAAGCCTTTGTTGCATGAATGTTTAACATGCACCGATACAGATTTTCATCTAATGGTTCTGGATCTAAACCCTTTAAATGGCAGAAATAATGTTATCCTTGCAGAAACAGGCTTTTGACTATCAGCATGAAATCTTGTTGCTCGTTCTGGCTTGAGACCATATGAGCGATCTGTTGTTGATTTTAGCTCAGTAATAGGTTAAGGGTTAAATATGGGTTGTGCTTGTTCAGAAGGAGATGTGTGGTCTTCAGCGGAGGCTGGAGGAGCTGCGGGAGCAGAGCAGAGCTGTGGAGGAGCAGCTGGAGCTGGAGGAGCCCGTCCTGAGAGCCTGCGATTCGACTCAGCTGCGGCTGATGGGTCGAGTGTTGGAGGACATGATCACCTCTGAACACCGGGCCCAGATCAGCGTGTCTCCACCCGCGGAGATCATCAGGTGAGGGCAAACAGAGCAGCAAAATGTGGAAAAATGTGAGGTCTCATATCTCATTTACACACATTCAAACCTGCACGTCGCTAATGGTCAAGACACATGTAAGAGCATGATGCGTTTTGAGGCACCGTGGCTGAAAAAAGTGCAGAGGTTTGAGAGATAAAATCATGCAGGTTTGGAAAAAGTCAATGTCAATGATTCCTTTAACCTCCTAAAATCAATATAACTCGTAGATTATTGATTCTGTAAAACAGCAGTAACAGCGTTATGTTCAAAACCATTCATTTAAAGGGGTCATATGATGCGATTTCAAGTTTTCTTTTCTCTTTGGAGTGTTACAAGCTGATTGTGCATAGATAAGATCCCTGAAGTTGCAAAGACTAAAGTCTCAAAACCAAAGAGATATTCTTTATCAAAGTTAAGACTCTGCCACGCCCCCCTAAAACGGCTCGTTCTAACACGCCCCCACATATCTACCCCACTATGTGGAAATATTTGCATAATGCGCCCAAATGTGCAAAGAAAGAAGGCGTGGTTTCAGGAACAGCAGTAGTCAGTATTTGAAAAATAATGTGTTTTTTGAACATTAAAGCATAAATTAAATTAAAGCAAAGTGTAACCCAATAAATTATTATTAATAATAATAATAAATATTAATATTTTAATTGATAATGTTATTTTATTGTTAATGTATATTACTGATGAAAACAGCAGCAATAATAATAATAATGATTTATCATTATAAGGGCTTACAATTGAATGATTATTTTTTTTATTATTGATGATGATGATGACGACTGATATAATAATAATATTAAATAATTATTTATTGTTATTATTATTGTTTTAATTATACAGTTAAATTTTTATTGATAATATAATAAATAATTTTTTATTTATATTTATTTACAATCATTTATTTTATTGATAGTATATATTATTGATAAAAAATAACACGAATAATAATAATAATAATAATAATAATTTATTATAATGACTTCAACTGGTTATTATTTTTATTATTATTGATTATGATGATGGTGATTAATAATAATAATAATAATAATAACAAAGATAAAATAATTATTTATGTTAGTATTATTGTCATTATTGATAATAACAAAACACCAACATTAAAAATAATAATACTCATTATTATTAAAGAATGATGATTATTATTACTATCATAATCAATAACAACAATAATGATAATATAAAGATTTATTTCCATAGTGATTTACTATTGATTGATTATTATTTTATTATTATTAATGATAATGTTTATTATTTATATTAATAATAATGTTGATTATTTATTGTTTACTGTTGATTTAGTATTATTATTATTATTATTGAAAATATTTATATTTTCTGTTTATAATTAAGAAATCTATTTATATTTAATGTTATTTATTTAAATATATTATAATATTTAATATATGCATATTAATTACATATAATATTTATTATTATTATTATTATTATTATTATTATTATTGATGTACATTTATAGGTGTTCGTATATCAGCTATTTTGCAATAACTTGTGATGTGGCTTATTCAGTCAGGTTTAAGATCCAGAGATCTGTTTTATAAACAGCATTATGCCATCAGGGTTAGTAATGAATTATAAGTGGAAGCTTGAGTATATTATCTGACACTTTTGTGATGGCATCAGTAAGTGACAGTAATATGAAAATCTCTATTGTTTCTGAGCTCTTTGCTGTAATTTTGAACAGAAAGCGACAGGTGATCGTTTAAAGATGTTAGATGTGCTAATCAGTATTCACTAGCGTTAACATTTAAGACTGATGTGGTTCAGTTAAATCTTCTCTTCAGTGGATTTAGTTTTTGGAGGAGATTCAGGGAGACAGACACTCTGTGAAAAACAAAGGTCATCTCTAGCGGCGATGAAAGGTCTGTCTCTGAGCAGAGAAATATTGAACTCTAGATTGCATGACTGTGTTTGGTCTCTCACAGATTGATTTTGATGCATATGTAGATTTATTGGAGGTACGGTGCAGATTGAGGTCATAACATTGAGCCCAGCTAAACAAACCCCGCTGAGAGATTGATTTATTTTCTCCTGCACTGAGGGCCGGTTTTAAAGCGAGTTTTGAGGAGAAGCAGCTGAGTCCACGTGGATTCTCCATGCAATCCTCTCTCTTTTATTGTATTTTTACCCGGCCCTTCTGGAAATGGGACACACTTTTCAGCACGGTTATGAATTTATATTGCTTTCAGGCTCCACAGAGTTAATGGTTATTCAGATGCTGGTGTGGATGAATATCAGTTTTCTGTCCAAAACCTGTGCGTAATGCTTAAGAAGAATCGCTCAAGGCTCTTGATGAGGAATAGCTGATATTTTAGAGATGTGTTACTGACATCTAATCCACTTATTAAACCTGTATATTACCAGCAGGATGCGCTTTATCCATTTGTTTAATCACAGCAGTTATTTTAATATTATTGATATACTGTTATAGTTTCTGTTAATATTTTTATATTTTCTGTTTTCACTTTAATTTTAGTAAATTTTTTTGTAATTTTGTTTTCATTATTTTTAGTAGTTTTTATTTTTTTTAAATATGTATATGAAATATTTAATTTTTATTAATTCGTTTTAGTACTTCAACTTAACCTAAATGAAAATGAGAAACTAGCTGGTATAAAATAGTAAAAGTTTAACCTTTTAAACTTAAATTTTTTTTTTAATTAAACTTAAACTTTTTAAATTTAAATATTTTAGTTAACGTTTCATTTCAAGTGATTAAAATATTTTATTTCAATATTTTTTTTATTTTTTATTTCAATATTTTATATTTATGTTATTATATATTTATGTCATTTTTTTTATTTAGTTGTAATAATAACCCTGAATCACAGTATATATTGCTTCGATATTGCTTGCTAACGTGTATTTATTAGTAGTGTTTGCTAAGTCAAGCATCATTATTACTATTCCTCAAATTTGGCATTATTTTTTAATGTACAATTTATGACTTTACTGTTCAAATCTCATTTTCAGCATCACTGATATTTATAATTTACTTTTATTTCCAGACTTCAGGAGCAAGAACGAGCGCTGAGTTTATCTGTCAAAGAGGCAACAGCTAAAGTAAGTCCACATTTCAATCACATATTAATCTTCTGTTCTTTCCCTAGGCATTTTATTTTATTTTATTAAGATTCTCTTTACAAAAAAATTTTTGATAAAAAAAAATATATAAAAAAGTGTGGCTCAAATGTATGTTGTATTTAAAATTGTATTTTATTTTATTTTATTACTTTTTTTTAAGTTTAATTTCTTAAAAAGGTTTATGTGGCAAAAATGTTTGTTGTATTAAAGATTTTTATTTTATTTTATTAAGATTCTCTTAACAAAAAAGTTTGTGGCGCAAATGTATGTTGTATTTAATTTTTTTAATTTTAATTTTATTTTATGATAATCTCTTAAAAAAAGTTTGTGGCAAAATTTTTTGTTGTATTAAAGATTTTTATTTTAGCCAGTGTACTAACCAGTCAATATTAAATCTTATTAAATATAATTTCACCTTCAGACTGAACAATCCTGTTATTGCTTTAAATATTGTTGCTGTTATGTGTAAGTTAGTGAGATGTGTCTAGTTTCATTCACAACCTCATAATGCCAGAATGCCAGATTTATGTACTTGTTTTAAGCATAAACCTAATTAAATTTAAACCATAAGTGAAAGTGCCAATGAAACAAGACAACAATTCTCTGAGATCTCAAAATCTCAGGTAAATTTGTGCCGTTTCTTGTTTTTTACTGTAAAACAAGAATAAAAGATACTGACCTGGAAGTGTATAATGGAATAACATACTATCACACTGTTGGAGATACTGTATCCCACATAGGGTTGGGTACCGAAACCCGGTATTTAATCGGTCCCGGGGCTAAATTATGAAAGACCGGAGTATCGATAAGCTCTGACGTTAACGGTTCTGCTATCGGTACTGGAGAAATTAAGAAAACACACATACATTTATTATTGCTATATATACATTATCTTGCAAATTCTATCTCACCAGAGTCGCCAGCTATTTTTCAAACATTTGTCTATGACGCATTTTTGCTATTCGCAATTCAGAAGCGAGATCGCACCCACGCGGAGAAGCTTCAGCACGCGCAACATGAAAGCCCTGTTTAATTATGATAGAAGAGAGCTAAACATTCAAACATCTGCTTACACTTTAGGCCTGTGGCGGTTTTATTAAGCTAATTTAAAAGATGCCCTGTATATACACTTAAATCTTTAAACATAACAGAAATGTTGTATAATATATATTTGATAAATATACATATATAATACATTAACTTACAAAGAGCAATACATTTGTTACAGTATTTATCTTTGTGAACATTAATTAATAAAAGTTCAACTGTCAATTGTTGGCTCATGTTAGATATTATATATACTGTATATAAATTGGTTTCATTTATATTATTTCTTATTTAATGGGACACCACCTCCACAATCTTTCTTTAATATCAAACAATATCCTAAATTATTATTTTTTTCAGCATGCAGCATTTTAAATTTAAAAAGCTGCAGATAATCAGACGCAACGCTAAAGTAATATAATATTAAGTCCTATAAATATAATTATTTGACAACATATAATTTTACTATACTTCTTTTCTTTTAAACCTCTGAGAATAGTTTGGGAGTAAAAAAAAAAATCGTGCAATTATTTTAATAAAAACAGCAGATTGGTTAATATTCCTTGTGAGAAATGAATACATTCCTGTGCAATTAACTAAATTAAGTTGCTCAAGACCCTGTGAGTCCTGCGGTGCACAGGGAGCCCTCTGAGCTTGCGTCATAAGGTCATAATCATGTAGCCAGAAGTAGCAATAATCTATGCAAAGTTGTATTTCTCTTATTGTTATATATGTTCATATGCAATAAAAAAAATTATTTTTATGAACATTCACTTCAATGGTATGAGAGACTGGATGATTTCAGCTGATTTCCTATTGAACTGTCAGCAACTGAGCAGTGCTCAAACTATTTCAAATATAGTCAATTAAGCTACAAACTCGATCATAATGCTCAATGTTTCCATCTAACATATTCAGAGTTCTGGCATGAAACTCTAGATGGCGCTCAATCTCAATCTGACCTAATGACATCATTATCACATGGCACAGCTGATTGGTTCTCTCCTGTATCGGTAGCCAATGAGCTCGCTGCTCATCATTCAAATATATGACTAAGGCTTGCCGTAGCAGTAGCAGCTTGCTTCAGAAACCCTCCACCTTCCCCAGCTCCACTGAAGTATTTTGAGCTGCAGCTTGTCATATTAATAGAGTGTTTTCACTAGTTAGCAGTAAACCGGTTTCATCACCTGAATATGTTCGTAGATTTGTGTTGGATGTTATCTTTGGAATGGAAATATGGATGTTTTATTTGTAAATATCATACTTTTTTCCTCTTATTTCAGTTAATGTCATATAACTACTCAGCTAAGCCAGTAGTAGTGCTGACAGTGTCGTGTAAACATGACTGAAGATGAGAAAAGCAGAGGAACAGACGAACCGATTCAGTTTGAATCATTTACGCTGGAACCGATCCGATTCAAACTCATCATCCAAATTGATTCAAACGATCATTCAGTTCAAGCGATTCACAAGCAAAAACCAGATCAAAAGAGTCTTTTTCGAATTTCGACATCGCTTGTAATGATTTTAAAAAGCATGTATAGTCAGTGCTTGAAGTGGAAAAAAAGAACCCCCCTCCAAAAAAAAAAAAAATTCCCATTGAATTCCCAATGTATTTATATAGTGCCACAAGAAAGAGAGAAATAAAAAAAGAATTGTTTAGAGCACTTTTAATAAAAATTAGCACAAGTCAAGCTGGGATACCAAACAGGATCACAGGGAGATGCCAAAAGACCACTAAACCTGCTGCCTTGACCTGACTGTATATGTACAGATCCATTCAGAATGACTAAACCACCGACCACCATATAATCTAAAACACCTTCAGTCAGCATTCATTATAAATCACTCGTGCTTTTAAGCCAAATATACTCTGGACGTGAGTCTCCAGTTCCTGTTGCAGTGCATTGTGGTGTGTGTGAGTTAGTCAGCATGTGTCGCCCTCCCACGACAGTCATTGAGCTGCTTTCCTCCTGTGAGCAGCATGGGAAACTGGACACACAGTCATTTATCTGTGTGTGTGTGTGTGTGTGTGAACTGGTGTCCGGGATCGCTGTGTGTTTTCACCGCGGGTGGAGCTGAGAGGAGATGAGCTGCCTGAAAAATGGCACAGTATGACTTTGCCCTCTGATGCACCATTATCTGATGGCAGAGCCGGCTGCAGCGCACAACCGCCTTCACATCGGGAGGGCCAGTGTTGTCTGCTGTGGCATCTGGCCCATCATTACTGGCTTCCTGAATGCTCAGTGCTCAGTATTTTATTTTATTTTATTTTATTAAAAAAAATAATTATTTTATTTTATTTTATTAAGATTTTCTTAAAAAGAAAATCTATTTTATTTTATTTTTAAGATTTTCTTTAAAAAAGTTTGTCGTATGGCACAAAATACGGCACAAATGTCGTATTTAAGATTTTTATTTTATTTATTTTTTGATATTCTCTTAACGAAAAAGTCTCTGTGGCACAAATGTACATTGTATTTAAGATTTTTATTTTATTTTATTTTATTTTTAAGATTTTCTTTAAAAAAAGTTTGTACTCACGCTGTGATCAGCGGCAGCTGGATGCAATAATCGCATGCCAATGTGCATTGGCTCATTTAGTTTACACTCGAAGTAGATTGGTCCCTCTAAGCGAGATCCCAATTCGTCGGTCATCCGACGTGACGTCGAGAGTGACCGACTGAAAGGGAACAGCATTTATTTGAAATAGAAATCTTTTGTAACATAATGTTTACTGTCACTTTTAATCAATTTAATGCTTCCTTGCTGAATGAAAAAAATAATTTTTCCCAAAAAAATCCTACTAACCCCAAAGTTTTGAACACTAGTATACTTTTATTTCGTAATTAATCATGTTTACTAAGTCAAGCATCACTATAACTATTACATATACTTCCCCAAACCCTAAGTATTAATCTTTTGCATACAACTCCAAATAGCACTTAGAAATGCCTTAGCTACAACCTAGCAACACCCTGGCAACCACCTAACAACTTGAAAATAAAAAAATGTAGTAAAGATTTGACAGTGTCTCTTTTAAATCTCAGACTGCTTCTTAAATTGCATGCTATCTGTATTATTTAGTATGTGAGTTTTTAGTATGTCAAATCATAGTATGCTGAAAACAGTATGCAGTATAAATAGTTCTATTATTTCTGGTGGCTTTCTGAAGTTTTAATGTTTCAGCGAATAGTTTTGCTGTTTTTCGTCGAATATTCTGCTTCTGTGTTTGGTTCTCGCCGCAGGAAATGACTTCAGCAGCGCGAAGGAACTGAAGGCAGAAATCAGGAGCGCGTACGGCGAGAGAGATCGTCTGGAGGGGCTGAAGAGGAAGCTGCAGGCACTGGGCGCAGGAAGTGGACGGGATCTGAGCCGCATGAAGGAGCAACACAACCAGATCAAACTGGAGCTGCAGGAGAGAGAAGCCCAGTATGGTGAGTAACCCGCAACACAGACGTCCGGCATTAATTAAGACCACTTTATTTCTGCTGACACAGGGGGGAGCCATTTCTTCATGGAGATCCAGAGACGTCTCAGCTGGAAATGTAGATGCTTTCTCTAGTTTTCTAGGTTTCAGTATTGATTTATATAGAGAGGACATCTCTGTTCCTCACGTTTGCTGTCAGTGTCTCTCTGAATCGTGCTTTCAGGCAAATAACACTATAAATTGTCCCTTGATAGTGAATCCTTATTGTATAAGTATAATATGCAGCAGCTCTATTATTATTGATTATGTTGAATTATATATTAATATATTATATTAAAAATATGTTTGTAATATATGCATAATATTTTAATATGTGCATAAAGAGAATGAAGAAATATAATACAATATAATATAATATATATTAAAAAAAACTTTTTTCGGAGCAATTTACTGTAATACATTAATTAAAATCATCCTATCCAGACACACACTTTATTTAAAATCAGCATGAATTAAATTCAGTGTACAAATATTATTATAATGTATGAATACTTCAGAATTTATTTGTTCATTTAGCTTTTTGATTTCAATAATGTTAATTATTCTGCAGAAGGATTTTTTTTTTTTAAACTTTTATCACATTAATGAAAATCATCCTATCCAGATACATGATTTATTATTTAATTATTTATTTATTTTTAAATCAGCGAATTCAATTCACTGTATAAATATTGCTATAATGTATGAATACTTCAGAATTTATTTATTTATATTTTTCTGGGAGTTTATATCTTGCAATTCTGACTTTCTCTCTCAGAAATGCGAGTTTACGTCTTGAAATTCAATTTATTTTTTCCAGAATTCTAGACACCTGACTGCAGTAGTAGTATAATTTTATTTAATGCCATGTCAGCATCTGGGGCTATTTTCATGGCAAAAACTCAATTACAAATAATGCAAATATCACATAAATACAACACAAAATTCTAAGAAGAAAAGTCTGAAAAAGGTCAGAATTGTGAGATAAAAAGTATACTTTTATAAATTTTTTAATTAAAAAAAGTGTATTTAAAAAAAAAAAAGAATATATTTATATTTTTATTCAGTGGCAGAAATAAGTTTCCGTATGTTAGAGACATCGATTAACACACACTGATCATCTCTGGATGTGGTACAGTGATGGTAAATCCATGGTATTGTCTGAAAATAACATGGCACCACCATAGCAAGTTGAAAAAATGTGTGCAAATATATAAATCCTAATGGAACTATCAATCGCCAGTAAACAGTGGTGCCAAGTCAAAAACAAATCTTCACTGCAAGTTAGCATTTCTTACGAATCACGGTTTGGTCCCTGAAGTTTGAGCTTTTTCCGCTCTGTTTAGTAATTGTTTTCTGAGGGTGAGATCATGATAACAGCTCTTTGTTTCTGCACAAGCCGGGGCAAGACTCATTTTAAAAATACCATTTAATATGAGTAAATACATTCTTAATTATGCAAGCACAAACCCAACAGCAAACTAAAACCCCCACGTGACAAGTGACACACGCAAACCCTTTTCCTTATGCCCAAAACAGTGATCTGATGGCAGTTATGTGGCAAATACATGTGTCAGCATGTTATTATGCGAGTGGGAAGACAGGCTAATAAGAGCCTATAGCAGGAGCAGCCCGTTCATGTCAAAGATCTTTTGTGTTCTGTATCATATTCGCCCGCTTTGCATATTTAGCATCAACGCTCAGGCTATCATTAGCTCACAATCTCTCTCATCCCGACACAAAGACGCAGACCAGCCAAACTCTTTGTTGAGCAAAATGTGTGTGTGTCAAATTAAGCAGACGAGTGTAATCCCTCTAACGGCTGGCTGGATTCCCGTTGGCTGTCAGCCGCGTCTCCTCCTGTTGTTGGACGTGTAGGGAACCGAATAAATGACAGACCATCTCCTGCAATCTCCATCCTGCATATCCTCACGGGACGCCAGAGCCAAGCGGAGAAGATTTTAATGTGCATCTGGTTATCATCGCCAACAGGTCAGATGATACCAGACCAGTTAATTTACACCAGTGACGTGAGCCAGACATTTCGACATCCTTTCAGTTTGTTAGCATTAAACACCAGGTGAATTTCACAAAACATGTCAACAGCATGTCTAGATCATATTGCACCTCAGAGACAAAAGGAAAAAAAGAAGAAATTATAATTTGCATGAAGAAAATGAAGCCTATTGTATGATAATTCATATTTGTGAATATAAAATTAAATAAATGAATAGATTCTGAAGTATGCATTATGACAGTATTTGTACAATTAATTTAATTCATGCTTATTTTAAAAAATTGTGTCTGCATAGAATGGTTGTAATTCATGAAAAAGAAGAAATGATATTTTGCACGAAGAAAATGAGGCCTATTGTATGATAATTAACGTTATTGAATATAAAATTAAATAAATAGATTCTGAAGTATACATTTATGGCAGTATTTGTACAATTAAATTCATGCTTATTTTAAAGGGGTCATATGATGCGATTTCAATTTTTCCTTTCTCTTTGGAGTGTTACAAGCTCTTGGTGCATAAAGAAGATCTGTAAAGTTGCAAAGACTAAAGTCTCAAATCCAAAGAGATATTCTTTATAAAAGTTAAGAGTCAGCCACACCTACCTAAAACGGCTCGTTCTAACACGCCCCCAACATGTCTACGTCACGATGTGGGAAGATGTGCATAACGCCGCCCAAATGTTCACGCAAAGAAAGAAGACGTAACTTTTATTCTCGCTGTAGTATTGTTGACGCTGCCGCCATGTC